GCGAAAGATATCCAACTCTAACAAGTTGTATTATACTTTAGGTTTAAAGTTCATCTTGAAATTTCCTAAATTATTTCAAAAAATTTATAAATAGCATTCTTAACTCATCTCTATGAAGCAACATTTCAACGCTATCTTGATAGTTCTTGAATTAACGTCTTATCAACCAAATGCCAAATGAACTGTTTTCCAAAAACTAACCCTTATCACCACCTACTGCCACTTACTTGCACTCTGGGCCAGCAAAAGGCGGATATTACGACGTCGTCTTCTCAGTTGTGCTGCTTTAAGGCTCGCACGATATCTACAGTATCGCGGCCGGTTTTGCAATCATCGCAGGATATCTCGGATAATGAGTATGAAGAGGATGCGCCTACGCATTTGGCTACCGATGAGCCATCTCTTAGTAAAGAGGAACAGGAACGAATACGGTGGGAGAATTGTCTTCTACGTTTACATCATTTCTGCACAAACCTTATTCATTTCCGTCTTAGGGCCGAAAAAGAAGAGGAAGAGCATAAAAAGAATCTGCAAATGTATGTATTCGTAGCGCGATGTATCGCATACCATTTCAATGCAAAACAACCAACGGATATGGCTCGACGACAAGTGAAAGTCACTAAGCACGACTTGTCACGGATTAAGGATAGGTAGGTTCTTTTAATAGGATCTCAGTACGTTATTTAAGATGAAGAGAATTTTTTTGCAGGTTTCAAGCCTTCCTCAAAGGGGAGACAAATATAGCCACCGATGAAGCCTTTGCAAAAGCCATGCATAGTTATTGTGAGGTTGGTATGGACTGAAAATTTCGTTAATCAATCATAGTCCATGTCATAATTTACATGAAAATAAAATTAAAGTTAAAATTATTAATAATTTCATGATGCCAAAAGCTTTTGCTTTTTCCCACTTGCAAAAGCATCGTTTTTTTCTGGAAATCCATAGTGTGTTCTTCAGAAATGTTTTTAACACTGTGTCTCAATGTTGTTTAGTTAAATTCCCCTAAACAGTTAATTTTACCAAATGCGACATAAAACCTCAACGCGGTTGAAAAAGGTGTAAGTATCAAAATCCATTCCAGGTTTTCCTCAAATCGGAACGGGTCCAAAAAGTCGTCGCTGCTGGCGGCTTTTCAATGCATGACTTTCGAGAGGTAAATTTTCGGAAAAGATTTAAGTTTTTTTCATGTTAGTGCTCCTAGAAAATAGAAAAGTAGAGCTCTTCAATAGTTGTGAACAATAATATGAGAA